TTTTTTAAATGGAGACAGTATTTCACACAACATGAAATTCACCTTAAAGTGTACGTCTCAGTGGTTTTTAGTACTATGGTTTTATTTACTATGCCGTGCAACCATCACCACTACCTCATGCCACAGCATTTCCATCACCCCAAAAGAAACCTTGTACCTATCAGCAATCCCAGTTCCCACCTCCTTCCTTCCCCTGACAACTACTCATCTTTCTGTCTCTACAGATGTGCCTATTCTGGACAATACATATGAATGGAATCATACAATATGTGACCTTCTGAACCTGACTTATTTCACTTAGCACAATGTTTTCAAGGTTCATTAGTGAACACAGATCTTCACTTCTCTTTATGGCTGAATATTATTCCATTCATTGTATGAACAGACCTATTTATCCATTCATCAACTACACACACATTTGGGTTGTTTCCACTTTTTGGCTACCATGAATAATGTTCCAATCTACTTTTTAGTTTCCTGTTCTTAAATGTGAGTAGACCACCAGAAATCATTACCACATAAAAAAAGAAATTAATAGAAAGGACTATAAACACTAAAATGAACAGGAAAAAACCAACTGGGGAGACAGGAACCATGCAAAAAGAGAACAACTTTTAGCTAACTTTAAAATTATCATTGGCCGGGCGCGGTGGCTCACGCCTGTAATCCCAGCACTTTGGGAGGCCGAGACGGGCGGATCACAAGGTCAGGAGATCGAGACCATCCTGGCTAACACGGTGAAACCCTGTCTCTACTAAAAAATACAAAAAACTAGCCGGGCGAGGTGGCGGGCGCCTATAGCCCCAGCTACTCAGGAGAATGGCGTGAACCCGGGAGGCGGAGCTTGCAGTGAGCTGAGATCCGGCCACTGCACTCCAGCCTGGGTGACACAGCGAGACTCCGTCTCAAAAAAAAAAAAATAAATAAAATAAAATAAAATAAAATTATCATTAATAAACTTTAGCTAATAAAAAATACCACATCCACAAAATAAAGGACTATTCAGAGAACCAGAGTTCCAGGAAACTAAAAATACGCTAAAAAGAATTCAATGGATTTGGGAGAAAAGTTGAGGTGGCCTCCAAGAAAGGAGAACAAAAAGAAAATGAGATGAAAGATAGAAAAAATTAAAGAAAATGAGAAGATTAAAGAAATTCTAAGATATACAAAGTTTCAAAAATGTACCTCCCATATACCCTCTTCTCTGGAAGCCTGAAGGACAGGCCTCGCTAACATGAGTGACCAAGAAAGATGACGGGGGTGGAGCCCTTGGGACCCAACCCAAGGATAAGGACTACTATTTCAGGAATATCATCATGCACCACACACAGAACAAATTTATAGATTAACTAATGTACCTGATCATGAGAGATTTAAACATTCAAAAAAAGACAGCCTGGCATTAATTTAGTAATAAGCAGAAAATTAAATAAACATATAAAACAATAAATCCAAGGAAAACACAGAGTTTGGAAGGAAATGGAAAGGCAATTACAGCATACTACACGGCTTAGCTGAAGATATCTTTCACATAGTCAAAATAACAAAAATGGATCTAAAAATTTCAAGACAACCCCCTAATGAGGATGAGGGAACAGGAAGGGTGTGTGCAAGTGTTGGGCTGGGAACGGGGGTAGTTCCTGAAGCAGGAAATAGAAACGCCTAAAACTGAAAAATCAAGGAGTTACAATATGGGAATGTTACTCAGAAATATAGAAGGAGGGCCAGGCAGGATGGCTCATGCCTGTAATCGTAGCACTGTGAGAGGCCAAGGCAGGTGGATCGCTTGAGTCCAGTAGTTTTGAGACCAGCCTAGGCAACATGGGAAAAAGTCTGCCCCCACTAAAAACACAAAAATTAGCTGGACATTATGGTGTGAGCCTGTAGTCCCAGTTACTCAAGACACTGTGATGGAAGGACCACCTGAGCCCAAGAGGTTGAGGCTGCAGTGAGCCATAATTGCACCACTGTACTCCAGCCTGGGGGACAGGAGTGAGACCCTGTCTCAAATAAATAAATAAATAAATAAATATGGAAAGAAATTTCCAAAGGACTCATTAAGAATAGAAAATAGTTACTTGGGGTCCAACACAGTGGCTCACGCCTGTAATCCCAGCACTTTGGGAGGCCAAGGCGGGCAGATCACGAGGTCAGGAGATTGGGACCATCCTGGCTAACATGGTGAAACTCCGTCTCTACTAAAAATACAAAAATTAGCCGGGCATGGTGATGGGCACCTGTCGTCCCAGCTACTTGGGAGGCTGAGGCAGGAGAATGGCGTGAACCCGGGAGGCGGAGCTTGCAGTGAGCCAAGATCGTGCCACTGCACTCCAGCTTGGGCGACACCTGTCTCAAAAAAAAAAAAGAAAGAAAATAGTTACTTAGGGGATGGGGGTGCCTGATGTTCTTTATAATGGGCCAGATAGAAATCTTTGACGATTTTAAACTCTATATATGTACAAATGGAACTTATGCTCATTCTGTTTTTAAAAAGCTGAGACGGGCCGGGTATGGTGGCTCAAGCCTGTAATCCCAGCACTTTGGGGGGCCGAGACGGGCAGATTACGAGGTCAGGAGATCAAGACCATCCTGGCTAACATGGTGAAACCCCGTCTCTACTAAAAAATACAAAAAACTAGCCGGCGAGGTGGCACATGGCTACTCGGGAGGCTGAGGCAGAGAGAATGGCATAAACCCGGGAGGCAGAGCTTGCAGTGAGCTGAGATCTGGCCACTGCACTCCAACCTGGGCAGCGAGAGCGAGACTCCGTCTCAAAAAAAAAAAAAAAAAAAAAAGCTGAGAACTACAAAAATGTCCGAAGAAAATAAATCTTAATAAGTACCTTTAACTCAGGAAATAAAAGTATGTGTCTATCCCTCATAGGGTTATGAATGGCTTCTAAGCAATTTAGTGCTTTCCAGCGAAAATAAAGCAACTCCTGCTAAAACAAAAGTACCTTAGGAAAAAAGAAAAATAATAAAGCAACTCTCAACAATGGCTAAAATTTGGGGCACAAATTGATCAAAAGATTAAACATAAAGCACATTTATGAAGATACACTGACTCAAGCTATATAAAAGCCATTTATCTCACCAGGTACAGCATTAACAACTCACTTCCCTTCTTTTGTAGTAGACTTGTCCCTTTGTACATTACACTTCCTTCTCCAACACTCCAATCTTACTGTTACCAGACTGTCTTTGCACTCCACTCTGCCTGAACATACTTCCCACAGTTAACTCCCAGTCACTTGGGTCTCAGTGTAAATATCATCTGCTCATAGAGGTTATCTGATCTCTCCAAAAAGTGTCCTGTCCCCTTCATTCTAGATCATACTAGAGTCTTTATCTCAATCTGAAATGGTCACTTCCAGAAGGAAGAAACTTCATCTGTCTTGTTCACCACTTCATCTCCCACACTTCTAAGAGCACTTGGCACACACTAGGCACTCAAATATCAAGTTAATGAACCATGACTATTTACCTCAACATTGTTAGTTTTAAGAGTCTTACTGTATTCGCAAAGATTTCTTTTAAGGAATAAGTAAAAATTTGCTCCCACCTCTTACCTGCCTTGAAAACACACACACAAAAATCCTTCCAAACGCAACTGAAAGCTTACACTAAAGAATTTTTTGCTGTTTTTCTCAAATTTTAACTGGGAATCTTATCGTTTGTCAACTCTACTTGAGTAAGGAGAGAAAAACCAGAATAGGATGTGCTGGGGTTGGGGAGGCTGTTACACAGACCAGCTGCTATGAGGAGTAAGAAACTGGGGCCGGGTGCGGCGGCTCACACCTGTAATCCCAGCACTATGGGAGGCCAAGGCGGGTGGATCACAAGGTCAGAAGATAGAGACCATGCTGGCTAATACGGCGAAAACCAGTCTCTACTAAAGATACAAAAAATTAGCAAGGCGTGGTGGCATACAGTCTCAGCTACTCGGGAGGCTGCGAGGCAGGAGAATGGTGTGAACCCGGGAGGCGGAGCCTGCAGCAAGCTGAGATCGCACCACCACTCACTCCAGCCTGGGCAACAGAGTGAGACTCCGTCTCAAAAAAAAAAAAAGAAACTGGGAAGTCTGATGTGTAGAGAAATTTAGGATTCATTACTACTACTTTGTGTTCGATGTAATTCACCCTTTGCTACCTCCTCAAGAAAACTACAGCAGAGGTCTCTGTTATTTACAAACAAAACAAATGCAGATGAGAAACTATCTCCTCTGAGAAGTCCTCCTTTACCTGTGTATCAATAAACATTTCCTTCAGTGTTACCTCTGGACTTGGTATGTTATTAGCACCCTGAGTTGTGTCTATTAGCTCCAAGGAGCAGAGGGTTAAGTGTTTTCAGCCAGGCACAGTGGCTCATGCCCGTAATCCCAGCACTTTGGGAGGCCGAGGCTGGTGGATCACCTGAGGTCAGGAGTTCGAGACCAGCCTGACTAACATGGTGAAACCCCTTCTCTACTAAAAACACAAAATTAGCCAGGCCTGGTGGCACATGCCTGTAATCTTAGCTACTTGGGAGGCTGAGGCAGGAGAATCACTTGAACCTGGGAAGCGGAGGTTGCAGTGAGCTAACACCATTGCATTCCAGCCTGGGCAGCAAGAACAAAACTCCATCTCAAAAAAACTAGTTTCCTCTGTATTGCCAGTATCTAGAACAGTGGCTGGCACAAATGTCTGTTCACCATGAAATCTAAAAGCAGTATCTAAATCAAAAAGGTCAATTATTTTAACTATACTTTTTTTTTGTTTTTCTTTTGAAATGGAGTCTCGCTCTGTCGCCCAGGTTGGAGAGCAGTGGCGCGACTTCGGCTCACTGCAACCTCCGTCTCCCGGGTTTAAGCAATTCTCTGCCTCAGCCTCCTGAGTAGCTGGGATTACAGGCACCCACAACCATGCCCGGCTGATTTTTGAACTACACTCTCATTTTCACTCAGCAAGGTAAAGAGGTAACTTGAAAAGTTTGGAGAGGCATACAAATGAAACACATACTTACTGTTTCAAAAGTATTCAATACCACCAAAGGGAAAAAAATATTAAAATAATCTCCATAATTGTGAAATCTGACAGGCACAGGTCTCGAGATGGACTGACAAAGACTTGCAGGGGGCCCACACTGATCAAAGTTCAAAAACATTTCATATTTCCATTTTAAGACCTCTTTAACGAAGGTGTCAGAGACAGACTGTGATGACAAGAGAACGTTTACTGGAGAGGAAGATGGAAAATATTTGCTTTCACCAAATGGAACTTTGCAACCTTGCCTGTTGGAATTATTCGGAGACTGAGGATGAAGAACATTGCTCGAATTTTTCATTTCACCCACTGGCTTCTGAGCTACGAGGGGAGCTGGCTGTGGTACTTTCAAAATTGACTGTATCCCCTTTGACTTATTTTTTAGAGATGGTGAAAGTGCTGAAGAAGTTTCCAAAGATTTAGAAAGACCAGCAATTCGTGAAGTACTCTTTGAGCTAAAAATCTTAGCAGTGGTAGGTCTCAAAGGTTTAGATGCAGAAGGAGGCAAACCAGGTTTACGAAATACATCGTCATCTGCTGCTTTCACTTCAGAGTGTTGTGGGCAGTATTCACCCTGGTTTTTTGTGGTTTCAAGACAATCTTTGTACTTACACTTTGTGCCACTCAAAGATTCCAACTGAGGCTGACTTACAGAATCTTCTTCAACCTGAACTGTATCTTTTCCATGAATTAGTTCAATGAATTTATAATTGTCATTCTCCATTTGTGAACATAAATCCATATCTTCAGGATCATTTTGTGTTAAAAACAAGTTATCTTCCTCTATATCACTGCTGGAGTCAGGCTCTCCCTCGTTCAAAGTTGCCATCTCTGTATGATGTGCTGTCGGATCACCTCCCCCCAGAGGGTCCTCTGAAGTACAGACAATTACTTCACTTGTTGGTACCGTTCCATTTAACACTATAGAATCACATTGGTTCAAAGGGCAAGCACCATCAGTCGCTGGAGACCCATGTTTTGCTTTTATGGTTTCTGGTTCAGAAGGCATGCATTTTATTAATTGTTTTCCATTACTGTTGGCAAGTACCTCAGTTCCTCCTGTACAATCATAATCTGACCTATCAGATTCTGGTACAAGTAAGTCAGAATTATGTGCTGTATGAGGCCCTGCTCTTGTAGTATCTGTACTTTTACAATCAGAAAGTCTTTGTCTATTTTTTTGTGATTTGGGTCTGATCTGCCTTTGCATCTGAAGTTCTTGACTAGTCAGCAGTTTCTTATTATGTCTGACAGACAGGTTCTGAGGAGAAATTAATTTAGTCTTTTTTCGAGTATCAACTACTCCAACAGTTTTGCCATGATCACGTAACTGAGCTACATAATCCAAAGATCGCTGGGACAACTCAAATGCCCTACGAGGACCCTTTTTCAGGCCAAGTTTCTCCACTGTTGAAGCTGGTTCAGGACACTGACGAAATTTCTTTGGTGGCACTATAGCAGGAGTTGTCCTACAACTGAGGTAATTTGAACTTCTATTCTGTCCTTTTTTGGCATCCGAATGAGTTTTCTTAGGGGTCTTAGAAACTGGAACTTTCCTGACGGGTTCTGTGTAAGTACAAAGCTTTGAAGATTTCTTTTGTGAAACCGTAGTGGCTCTCTGAATACTTGAATTGGGAGTTGTAGTCCTTCTATCTATACTTTTAAAATCATTTCCAATAAGATCTCTCTTATTAATATCAGACTGGCCCTCATTTCCGACAGAAGTTGAAGGCCTCACAGGATCTTCAGGAATTGGTTTTTCAGATCGTTTTCTCTTAGGCTTTTTTACTTCAATTTCACAAAATTCCTCAACAGAAACACGACTGCTCTGTGGTCTTGCGTGTTCTTCAATACCCTCTGCCCCTTTTTTAACAACTTCAGATACATAATCTGTACAATCCTGACCATTTGTGGTATTGGCTATAGGAGTCAAACATTTTTTCTCACCATCTTGAACTGAATTATTATTGTCTAGATGATCTTGCCAAACGGAAAACACTTCAGATGCACTTTCAAACTCAAAACACTGAGAATCAGATTCCTCAAACTGAAAAAGAGACTTCGTCTTTTCTTCCTTTATTGGATTCTTTTCCTCCTTGACTGTTGAAATGTGCTGCTCTGGACGTTCCTTCTCAAGGCATCTTTTGTCCTGTTTAGTGAGTTTCTCAAGACTCAGGATTCTTTCATCATCATCATCATCATCAGAATCTGAAATAATAATCACCTGTCCACGGGAGGCATCGCCAACATTATTTTGGTTAGCTGTGAAACATCTTTTATCTTCTTTTCCTTTCCTTTGTAGCTGGGATGAGTTCTGAGGGGAATCAGATGGAAACGTGATAACACTGGCTTGAGCTAGTAAAGATAATTTGTGAAGGTCTCTGTCTATCTGAGAATCCGTTAAGGTGTCAGATTTAGGACTGATGCCAGGGGCCTGTTCTCTTGTCAAGTTAGAATAAATCACATTGGTACTATTACTCGTCGCCTCATCTCTTGATTCAGGTACAGTCATAAGATCTTTAAAGGAAGATGATTTCTTCTCGAAAGTATTGGCCATTTCTGCAAAGGGGATCGAATCTTTATCATCAACATGAAATTCCTGTATTTCACAATTGTTTTCATGGGAACAGAAAATATCTAACTCTTCATTCTTTAATTGCTTCTCTTCTGGCAATAAATTGTTTTGAGATTTTTGTTCCCCATTCTTATTATCATCCAGAACACCACTACGGTCTAAAGAAAGATTGTGTATGAAACCATCTCCTTTCTGAACTCCTGTATCTTTCCTTGAATAGAAACGCTCAATGCTAGATACAGTCAAATTTTCGTCTAAATTGATAGTATTATTGACCAAAGTACTCTTCCTGTGTTGCTTCTTTATTACATGTGATAACTTTGCACAGATTTCATCTTTCTGTACCTTAGTTTTTCGTTTTGAGGTTTTAGCAAGAGCATCATCCTTTAAAGAGAAATCTTCATTTGATGTGGACACTTTTTCCAAAGCATCTGTGCTAGAATCAGTCAACAAACGTGTTGATACTATTATTCCTCTGTCACATCCCCTTTCTGGACCATTTCTTGAAGTACAATCCTCTGGTGTATATGAGGAGTTCTCTTTTACAGACTTCTGCTTCCTTGTACTTATTTTAATTTCATCTTCAGCTCTTTCAGTAAAAATGTTTTCACTACTCTGCTTTAAGCATGACCCAGCTGAGAGCTGGTCTTCTAGTTTCACATCCTTTATATAATTTTGCTTATCATTGTCACCTTCTATAGTGTTATCTGCTTTGATCAGTACACTGTCTTGCGCTTTCATTGGTTCTTTAGAAAATGTTGGGCTGGAAGCCTCCAAACAATGCATATCTTTTCTAGACTTCTTCCCTATTTGTTCACTTTCTTCTTTATTATAAGATGCAGGAGAGGTTTTACATGTAGAAGTCAGATCCACAAAAGTGTTACATGGAGGTGCTTTGAATTTTATGTTTCTAATAATCTGCTTTAAACAAGTTTGTAGCTCGTGGGTTTCCTGACTAGTCAACTGCCAACCTAGAGATAAATTTCCTCTAAGGAATAAGTTGAGTTTATCCCAGAATCGCTTGCAAAGAGATTGCTGCCCAAGCTGATAACCTTCTTTAAGGAGACTTCTAATCAGCTGCACACAAGCAAGTTGTACAGAGTTAGATGGCATGGAATGCAACGACAGTGATGATATCATTGCTGTTCCTTTGGAGCAATTGCCAGACGATTTCTCAGAACTCCGTGTAAATGCAGTGGTAGGAAGCTTGGCACATTTGACGACAGCTTCTACCCATTGCTGGGAACTTACCCACAGCAAATGCAAACATTTTTTATTTCTATGCAGTTCAATCACTGATACCAAAATTAGAAGAAAAAATTCAGTGACTTTGTCACACATGGCATCTGTTTGGTTGAGGACATCTTTGACTTCAGAGTACAGATGATGAACAACCTCTACTATGTAAGCCACACCCAAATCCTTAAGATCCATGAGGGACTGGACAAAAGGGATGAACCACAGAAATGTGCTGTTATGAACACGCATGTCTTGACCAATATCTGACTGAAGCACACTGGCTAATGTTTCCATTTCTTCATACATGTTAGGACAATAATCTGGGCAAATGGCTGTTCTCCATCCAGAATCCTAAAAGGAAAGAAATGCTGATGTTCAGATAAATAAGCACCACTTATGACAGGTTCAACATCCAAGTCGTTAAGAAAAATATGTTTCCCAACTCTCTTATTTTGGTTTACCACATCATTATTATGGTATACAATGGAATGGTGTAATTGTGGCATACAATTATATCACAATCATAATATACCTAACTCCAAAGAAACTAAAAATATAAACTGAATTTTGAGGTTAAAGTTTCATAAAAAGACAAATTGATAACACTTTTATGTACTCTCAGCTTTTTTCCACTAGCTAGTTTTGATTTCTAGTCATACCACGTATGTCCCCATAAACTTTCCATCTTCCCTAAATGTCCTTAGAAATTAATTTTCCAAAGTATACACACTGTAGTTAGAGTCCATCTTCCCCAATGCACAATACATCTGCTGTTCAATGAGAAGGTCTTTTACATAGTAGTAGATTGAGAACAGCTACATATCATAAAATCAACAACTCAACAAATTATATAAAATAGTCTACACAATACAAAGGCAATAAAATAGCATCTGAATTTTCAAAGTGTTTTATACCTTTTTGGTCTTTTCAGGATTATAATTGTATACGATCTGGCTGCAAGTCACCATATCATCCAAATACGACCCCGGTTCTAACTTGGTCCTTAAATATTAAGAATAAATAGAAATTACTGAAATTAAGGGGGGAAAAAAGGCAGAAACACCTCCTGTTAAGAAATTCAGTGGAACACACTTTCTTACAGAGATGATGTATAAATCCTGACATTAGCTGAACTAACCTTACAGAGCTGTTCCGTATATGTTGGATCTCTCTATTGTAGCTTGCATTGTTGATAATGGTTTGAAATGCCTCAATAGGATCAATAAGCTGACCCCAGACCTTAGATCCAAGGCGGTCCAGAATCACCATAAAACAGTGTAATGCTGGCCAGAAAGGATCCACACTATCATCTGAAATACAATGGCACAAATCGTTGAATTACTAAACAGTTAGAAAAACATACTAAAATACATTGAGAATTAAGTATTCTTTATCTGGTGAGTAGTAACCAAACTAAAAACCAAGCAGCAAATAATTTAAAGTAGCACACCACCAATCCTTAGACACATATAGGTTTTAAAAAGCAGGTACATTTTCAAGATTGTTTTTCAAGCAATACTATGATACTTCTGAAAAAAAAAAAATTAATGGCAAATTATTTAATGGGCAAGAAAACAGTAAAACAGTCTAGGTAAACACAATCTTTTCACACCCTATTTGCCATACCAGAAACAACCTTTTCTAACTTAGCTCCTCAACCCCTCCCAAAACTTTGTAGTCCCATCCTCCAGTAACTAACAGAAAAGATGATGAAAAAATACAAAGGAAAGAGAAAGAAACTTGGTATTTACAGATCTACATGAAGCCCACAACACAAGAAATTCTCTTTCAGCATGATCCTGAATTTTGTGTCATGCAGTTAGTGTAAATGACTAAAATCTTTTTTTTTTTTGGAGACGGAGTCTTGCCCTGTCGCGATCTCGGCTCACTGCAAGCCCTGCCTCCCAGGTTCACGCCACTCTCCTGCCTCAGCCTCTCCAGTAGCTGGGGCTACAGGTGCCCACCGCCACGCCCGGCTAATTTTTTCTATGTTTTAGTAGAGATGGGGTTTCACCATGTTAGCCAGGATGGTCTCGATCTCCTGACCTCGTGATCCGCCCGTCTCGGCCTCCCAAAGTGCTGGGATTACAGACGTGAGCCACCGCGCCCAGTCAATGACTAAATTCTTTAGCTAAGGAGTAAGGCAAAGATACATACTCTTCATCCATCTGTATCTCAACGTGGCTTTGCTATTATCTACTTTTCATCCAACTTCCTGCTTCTCTATTAGATATGCAGAAGCAATATACTGCCCTACTCAAAGACCTTCAATGGCTACTTAATGTCTTCCAAGAAAATTCAAAGTCCTCAGTCAAGAACTTAAAAGATACTGATCTACTGTTTATTTCCATTTTTATTTTTCATATTCCTGTAATCATATACTATCTACAGCAAAAATAGATCACTGCCTTTTTCCAAAATAAGCCCTAGAATGCCCTTGCTTCTAGCACAACCTATCAAAATCCTACTCATCCTTAAAAGTTCAGCTTAAATGCCTCCTACTATATATTAAACATTCCCCCACTTCAGTCATCTACAGTACTCTTCTGAGGCAAGTGCTGGAATTCACTCATTTACTGCTAGTTGGTAAGTCATCCTTGAACTTGGGACTTTCCTTCCCTCACACTTCTCAGACTTTGCCACAGTCATCTGAACTTTCTTACATATTTTTCTATCCTCCACCGCATCTGAAACAGTGCCTGTGTCTAGTAAGCTTACAAGAAAGAAAGTAGCTAGGTGAAGACCATTATGAAAAGTTTCTCAAAGAGGTAATTAAAATTTTGAAGACGAGGCTGGGTTCAGTGGCTCACGCCTGTAAATCCCAACACTTTGGGAAGCCGAGGCAGGAGGATTGTTTGAGGTCAGGAGTACGAGACCAGCTTAGGCCACATAGTGAGAGCTGGGTAAGGTGGCACATGCCTGTGGTCCCAGCTACTAGGGAGTCAGAGGCAGCAGGATGACTTGAGCCTGGGAGGTTAAGGCTGCAATGAGACCTGATTGAGCCACTGCACTCTAGGGTGGGTGACAGAGTGAGATCCTGTCT